TGATAAGCTGTTAAACTAGACAGTCCATGAATAATAGCTGAAAAAGAAAAGAGTGAATTTTATTAAAAAAAAAAAAAAGGCAACTTGACAACGTAACCCAGCAGTGCCTCTGTGTGGTTTGCTGAGTAATAGGTTACAAACATCATGCAAAAATTATCATAAATTTAGAGCTGTATGCTTTTATTTATAGACAATTTTGTAAGAATTAGAACAAAAAAGAGTACTTTTCTTGCAAAATAAAACTGATGTTTCACATGCAGAATAATAAATATTTAAAACTACTTTCATAGGTAGCAAAGATTTAGATCCAAACTGTAAAATGTATCAAATCACTAGCTGGAAGCTTATTTTAAACCTTAAAACTCCTAATATTACAGGAAATATTTTATATTATTTCTGTTAAGGTTTCAGCTAAGTGAGAGTCTGTTCAGTTTAGAAAGCCTTATTTTAAAAATATATTAATTAATATTAACCTCCCAAATATTTGAAAGCACACCCAGATGTGATGCTAGGCAGTGAGTACATACAATGGTGAGTAAACCTTAATCCTGGACCTCAGTGAGTTTATTACCATGCAGCAAAGAAAGGCAAATGACTGAACCACTAAAGCAAAAACATGGAGCTAGTGTAACATTAACGCTAGCTGGAGGGAGGAGATGGCAGGGAAGGCTTCTCTGAGAAAACAATGTTTACAGTAAGACCTAAAGGTGTCACTGTTAGCACTATACTTCACCCAGGGCTTGGCTGCTGTATGTAAAAAGGTTAAATTAACTAGCGAACCAAAAAGCAGTAGGGCAGCCACCAAGCAGATAAGACAAATATATTTTTTATATTTATTTCCTCAATTCTAAGATGCCATAATCTTACACTATACTAGAGATTATCTGGACCATATATAGGATTCAAAGAGGGCACAAAATTTATATAAAACAAACACAATTCATTCAATATTTACTGAACACCTACTGCTAGCCAACATTTGGGGCTGATGACTGAATGATAAGAGAGCCAGTCCCCGTCCCATAAAAGTGTTAGTCTGAGAAGACACAAAGTAAACAAAAAGTGATGCAAGTGACTAATTAAAATGTAATGAGCGCCACAAAGGGTAAGTCCGGTATAGGAGCCAAACAAAAGACCTAATCTATTCTAAGGAAGAAAGGCCGACCCCGTCTGTCTTCACCTGCCTATCCCATTTAGTCTGCTAAGCAACAACTGCAGATACCCTGCACACCACTGCGCCCCTCTTTTCCTTGTACCTGGTAGGCAAAAACCAATGATCTACCTGGCTGAACCTGGCTATCAGCTTTCCCCATATCTCTAACCAAGTGCTGCTGGTGGAAAAATCCCTTAGGGAGGATCTAATGACTGGCAATATCAGCAACTATCTTCAAGCACCTATTATAATACAAGTACTACTCTAAGCACTTTGGGCCAGTGGTTTTCACGTGGGGGTGATTCTGTCCCCTATGAGACATTTGACAAAGTCTGGAGACATTTTTGATTGTCATGAGTGGGAGGAGGTGCTACTGGCACCTAGTGATTCAGGTCAGGGACACTGCGAAACATCCCACAAACCCCCTTCCCACTCTCCTTGCATGCATACACAGAACAGAGTTACATGGCGCAAAACGTCAACAGTGCTGAGGTTGAGAAACCTTGCTTTATACTCATCAGTTCATTTGCTTCTCTCAACAGCCCTATGAGGTAGATACTATTATTAGCACCATTTTACAAATCAGGAAATTGAGGCACCAAGAGGGTAAATAACTTGCTTCAGTTCTTACAGCTATAAAGTAGCAAAGCCAGGAATCAAACTCAGACAATTTACTCTGGAGCCCATGTAGGGGTGTTTTTTTTCTTTTTCCTTTTTTTTTTTTTTTGCTGAGGAAGAGTCACCCTGAGCTAACATCCGCTGCCAATCTTCCTATTTTTGTATGTAAGCCACCACCACAGCATGGCCACTGACAGACGAATGGTGTACGTCTGCACTTGGGAACCAAACTCGGGACGTCAAAGCGGAACATGCTGAACTTAATCCCTAGGCCACTGGGGCTGGCCCTGGAGCCCACACTCTTAATCACTATCCTACACTGCTTCCCATGGCAGGAGACAGGTTAGGAATAACAGTCTGGAAAAGGCCTTATCTGAGATAAATGAGGTGTGAGAACAATTCTGTGTTGGAATAAAAGTGGTAAGAATTTTCTAGAAAGCATCAAGTTGTACATTTTTATAATACTGAAAAGTGTAGTAAAAGAAATTCTACAAAAGAGAAAAAGAAGTCTTTTCAGTCAAAAATGGGAACAGAGATAACACTGTGTTCACAATTTGCATGTCTGTCACTGATTAGCAGTGCAAATTGAAAAAGTTTACTCTCTCTGGGCTTCTGTCCTTGAGCTTAAAATAACAAAAGTAGCCTAGACTACTCTTTGGGTCTTGAGCTAGAACCTTGAAAGGGGTCTTTTTTCTTTTAAATAAACTTTATTTTTTAGAAGTTTTAAATTGATGGAATTACTGTGAAGATGGAGAGGTCCCACCTACCCTCCACCTAGTGTCCTCCATTATCAACATCTTACATTAGTTTGGCCCCTGTTACATTAAGGAACCAATACTGACCCATTATTAATTAACGCCCCCCATTTATTCAGATTTCCTTAGTCTTCACTTACGTCCTCCCGCTGCTGAGGACCCCATCCAGGGCACGACACTACATTCAGTTATCCCATCTCTTTAGGACTGTCTTGGCTACAACAGTTTCTCAAACTTTCCTTGGTTTTGATGACCTTGACAGTTTTGAGGTATTCTGTAGAACGTATCTCTATTGGGATTTGTCTAATATCTTCCTCATGATTGGACCGGAGTTTTGGGGTTTTTGGAGGAAGATCACAGATGTAAAGTTCCATTTTTCGTCACATCCTATCAAGTGTACATACTACCAACTGTTAGTGTTAATGATCTTGATTACCTGGTGAGTAGCATCTGTCAGCATTCTCTACTGTGAAGTTGCTCCCCCACCACACTGTACTTTCAGAAGAAAGCCACTACCGCAGCCCACACTCAAGGAGTGGGGAGTACCCTCCACCTCCCTGAGGACAAAGTAGCTGCATAAATCACTTGGAATTCTTCTGCATGGAGACTTGTCTCTTTCTCCATTTATTTACTCCATCATTTACTTACACCAGTATGGACTCATGGATATTTATGTTATACTGTGGATTATAATTCAATACTACTTTGTTTTCTTGCTCGAGCTTTGGTCATCGGGAGCTCTTGCCGTTGGCTCCTGTGTCCCTTTCTGCCCCACCACTGTGGGGTTTGGTTTTGCTTTGTTTTTAGCACTTCCTCATTTTCTGGCACAAGATGCTCCGGGTTTATCCTGCATACTTCCTGTTCCTGTCCTAGAAACAGACCATTTCTCCAAAGAGCCCTGGTTCCCTGTGGTGGAGGAGAGGATTAGAGACCAAGACTCCAGCGCTACGTGAACTTGCACATTGCTTCCACGCACTTCAATCTGACACAACAAGGAAGTCTGAGCCTGCTAACCGTGTCTGTGTACGTACAGAAATACGCACATGTATTTCTATATGTAACCATCTGTACTTATATCAAGCTAAACAGGAGTTCATAGTGATGTTTCCAACTCAAATTCATCACCACACAGATAATTCTAGCCTGCTCCACAAAGAGGACTTTTTAATAATCCTAATTAAGGTGAATTGGCTTCATTTCCCGAATTAATTTTCTAATTAATGTTAATTAACCACGGCTCTAGTGTTATCTGTGACAACGTTAGAGGAAAGGTTCTCGAGTTGGAAGATAAGGCTTGGGTCTGGAATACCTCTTGGAACCTATAAATTCTCCAGGTTGCTTAACTAGTTCACTCTAAGATTATTTGCCTACCTCAGGGGGTTACCCGAAGACGAAACATGTCAACACGTTTCCTAAAACAGATAAATTTCTATAAAATACTAACTTGGCGTTGCATTCAGCTGCAGTAAATCGAGTGCCGACTCTGAAATAAACACCAGAGCATCTTTCTGGCATCATTCAAACAGCCAGGCTGGTCCTCCCTATGGGTCTAGTCTCTGTCCATCACTTCCAGGCCCTCCCGTCCAGGCAGCAGGTTTCACCGACAACGGCTTTTATCCTGAAGCCTGTACCGAGCAAGCGGGCCAAACGGGGTTTAAATACGTGGCTCACAAATACACAGAAAACACTTGGAGGCCATAGTGACGGCTGAATCAATGCCATTACAGGAATAACTGAGTCAAAACAACAAATAGAAGCGCCAAAGGAGATAAAAGGAATTGGACACCGCGTTCGGGGCAATTTAGCACATTTTAACTCATTTCATCCCGCAGCAACTCTAAACGGGGGTCTCATGCTCATTTCACCGAAGAGAAAAACTGAGGCGCCGGGAACAGAGGGAGGCGGGACTCGAACCGACGTACCATGGGGGCCCGGTCCCCGTTCTCCCGCCCGGCCGCCCGGCGCTCACCCTCAGCGCTGTCGCGGGTCCGGTGGAAGTCCTCGGAGCGGCCGTCGCGGAAGGCCCGGCACAGAGAGAGGCAGAGGAAATCGAGCATCCAGCCGGCCGCCACCGTCTCGGCCTCGGCCACCAGCTCGGCGTCCTCCTCTGCCTCGGGGGCTCCCACCTGCACCTGGCACTCGAACAGCTCCTGGCACTCGAACTGCTCCTGGTCGTCCCTCGCCATCGCCGCCGCCCGCTCCTCCGGGGGCTCCGCATCCTCCCCGTCCGCGCGTCCCCGCGGGCTCGAAGCGGCTGAGGAGCTATCCTCCGCCATGTTAAAGCGGTCGCGCGAGTTCCGTTCCTTCGGGCGCCGAGCGACGATTGGCTCGCGCTGGCGGGAGCGGGGAGGTGCCGCGGGGGCGTAGCTTCCGCCGGCGGGAAACCACCAATCACACCGCCGGGATGGGCGAGCGCCTCGAGTCTGGCTTCTGATTGGCCAAGACCTGCTCCCGCCTCTGGACATTGAATTCCCCGCCACGCGGCCCGGCTTTGTTGGTAAACCGGCCAACTCCAGACCGCGCGGGGAGGGAGGTTACGGAGTGAGGCGGCTGCCTTCTGCTCGTGCTAAAATGCAGCAGTGACTGGAAGGACGACACGGTTAGTTAAAATGGAAATGCATTTTACCTACAGTGTACTTCAAAAAGAGAGAGGTTATAGAACTTGTCACTAAGCGTGACACTTTAGACCGTAGTATTCACCTAACAGTTGCTGCGCGATCACGAACCAAAAGTGTCCCAACGGACTTAACTCCTTGCTTCTCCAACCTTAACCCGCGTCAGAATCAGCCAGGGGGCTTGTTAAAGCACAAATTGTTGGGCTCCAGCCCCAGAGCTTCTGTTCTGTAGGTCTGGACGGGGTTCCTTCAATTTGCAAGTCTAACAAGTTCCCAGGTAAAGCTGAGGCTGTTTGGGGATCACATTTTGAAAATCGCTGCTCTAGAAAGAGTGTATTACTATGGAAATGAATTTCAATCAGGGTGACAAATAAAAATGGCAAGCAATAGGATATATTGGAGAATATGAGGAAACCATTTGGTATAAACCTAATTCGGCCTGACCTTGTCTTTCCAAAAGGGCCTGACCCTGGCTGTTGAGCATGTATTGTATATCTGCTTTAGATATTCCCTATGGCAAGAACAAAGGCCCTTGAGATAAAGGTGCAACTTCCCTCCCCCTCCCAACGTTGGCATCTCCTTAAGGATTAAGCATCTTCCTTAGGCTAGAAACTGATTGCTGCGCTCACCTGTGACGACCCAGCTCTAGACAATGGACTTGCCTCCTGCTACGCCCACCAAGATGGCAGACCCACTACCTGCTGTGTCCATCAAGCGCTGTGCTGACAGGGCAATCTTGTGACTATTGTGGGAGGGAGATTTCAATCTTACGTGAAACGTCCTGTTTGGGGGTTATATACCCCCTGTATACCTCACTTCTTTGGTGCCCTTTCTTCCTTCGGGAAGAAAGGCCCCAGGCCATGGTACTCAGATTTCAGCTCAGAATAAACTCACCCAAGTTTTCATTTATAGATTGGTTATGGATTATTCTCGTCGACAAGGGTTTGAAATAGACTATAGAATGCAGCTTGTACAACAATGAGTGAACGTTTGTTTTGAACTTTGAAACTTACCTTAGAGCAGAAGAGGGAATTCTGGGGGAGAAGGGGTTTGTTTCTCTATGTGGGTGATAGTTACATCAGAGTATTCACTTTGTGAAAATTCATTGAACATAACTTATGCACTTTCAATATGTGCGTCAGAATTGAATAAAAAGTTTACTTTAAAAACCTTTCGGTTTATAACACATCCAATTTCAGCAAAGCCTTTATGTGTTCTGATTTTACACATTTATTATTGCTTTAAGGCGGTAGGTTAAACGCTGAGTTATTAAAGCACTATATTATAGCTGTTAAGAATGCCTAGGTTAGGGACCCAAAGCCAAGTTGATAAGTTGGGGGGCTCCACTTCGCTGGCTGGGTTTGCCAGTTCAGGTCCTGGGCACGGACATAAGCATTGCTTGTCAAGTGATGCTGTGGCAGTGTCCCATATAGAAGAACTAGAAGGACCTACAACTATGACATCCAACTATTTACTGGGGCTTTGGGGAGAAAAGGAAGATTGGCAACAGATGTTAGCTCAGGGCCAATCTTCAAAAAAAAAAAAAAAAAAAAGAATGGCTAGGTTGGAACATCCCTCACTGGCTGTGTGATCTTGAATAAATTATGTCTCGGTTTTCTTGTCTGTATATTGGGGATAATCATAATACCTCATCATAGAATTGTTGGGGAGATTAAAGGGCTTAAAAAATGTAAAGAGTTTAGAAGGAATCCAGGTGCATAGAAGTGCTCAATTAATATTAGCTAGAAAAGCAGGACATTTGTGCTACCTGGAAAGAGGGTGATGAGTCAGAAGGGATCACCCCTTCAGGCTCTAACGGTCCCATTGACAGTAAGTCCTGTTTGCAAACAGTACAGGGGAATAGGGTCTAAGGAAATAAGGGGTAAGATACATTATGAACAGCCAACAAATCCCAGGTTTCCAAATTGAAACTTTTTTTGTCCTGCAAGGCTCTCAGATGAGGTCTGCTTCTTCTTCCTTTCCTCCAGTTCTCCTCCTTGTCTCCCCAGAAGGGAGTTCAGGGTTACCTTAGGTATATCAACCAATTTATTCAAAGCCACAAAGTAAACATAGCATATTTTCCTATGGCATCAATCTACTGAAAGATTTAGAGAAGTGAAACATTTTTATAGTTAACGCAATGGTGTATAATGAAGTGTAATGAAATATGTGTATTTTTTATTAGGATTTAATCGCAATCATCAACAAAATTTTAGTCTGGAGCTACTTCCAGCCACATACTGCATTCTTTGCCCTCTTCCCTTATTATTATTTGATTGAAGAAAAATTAAGAAGCACTGGCCACATAGGGTGGGGCAAAAAGTTATTTTAAAATCTAATTCCAGCAGAAAGTCAATAAGACAGAGTCTTATTGGGTTGTGAGCGAGACAACAGGCCTGGAGGAGGAGGAAAGGAAAAAAGGAAAAGAATTAATTTTTTAGACCTGCCCCTCAGGGTGGATGGTAGACTTATTCTTCTGAAATAATACTTTCACATCACTGTGATCAGAAAACTCAACTGTGATAAGTGTAAAATAGCTACAATAAAACTTACAATACATAAAGTCCCAATAACCCTTTAGCCAAAAGTCCCAATAACTCTTTAGCCATATATATATTTTAATTTAGTTGTATGATAGATAAGTTGTTAACACATGGCATTTCAGTAAAACGTGTGTAATTAGTAAGCATTGTGAGATGGGGAAATTGTTTTTGGCAGAAAAGTTTATAGTGTATCATTCCCTTCATGACGGCTTTAAAGGAAATAGATCCTAGTAGGTCAAGATGAAGGAAGGGGTGGATGGGGAGAGAGAATCTTGAGTTTGATGATTTTAAAGTCATTCCTTGTGTAAAATTAGTAAACTATGTTTCTTGCAAACTCGAGTTTGTGGGCTGAGAGCCATAACTGCTACAGTTACCTTTAGTTAAAGGACTGTTAAAGGACTTTATAAAGTTAAAGGGCTGTTATGAGGGGAGAAATTTTATTTGTTTTGTGATGATCCTAAGAGCACAAGATGAAACCAAAGACTGGAGTTTTGGGGATGCAAATTTGATTTCATATTACACATGCTTTCTAACCATTACAGCTCTCCCATGATGAAGTATTGCCAGGTACTGATTTCTCACCACTAGAATCATTGATGTAAAGGCTGGATGACTGCTGGACAGAGATACTGTGGAAAGATTCTGCTATGGACTGAATTGTGTCCGCCCTCCGCAACCGTATGTTGAATCCCTGACCCTCAATGTCACTATCCTTGGAAATGGGGCCTGTGGGGAGGTGATTAAGGTTGAATGAGCTCAGAAGGTTGAGGCCCTGACCCAACTGGATTAGTGTCCTTTTAAGAAGAGACGCCAGAGAGCTCACTCTCTACCCTGTCTCCCTCCCTATCCATGTGAGGACACAGTGAGAAAGTGGCCATCAGCATGGCAGGAGGTGATCCTTCACCGGGGACCAAATCAGCCAGCACCTTGATCTTGACTTCCCAGCCTCCAGAACTGTGAGAAAATAAATTTTGGTTGTTTAAGCCATGCAATCTGTGATATTTTGTATGACAGCCCAAGATAACTAATACAGAGTCCCATAAAGCCTTGATGACATTCCGCATGTGGTTGCAATTCTTAAGATTGTTTTTGCCTTGGACTATTTTCTAAGGAACACTTTGAAACCCATAAGTTTCTTAAATTCTTGTGTTTACCGTGTTGAATATTAGCCACCAATATAAGCTAATGGCTTCATTATGAATAACATAAATCGTTTTATTTCTGTGTTTATAAATGTCTTATGATTATCCAAATTACTTACGTACTTTTGAAACATCCTTTTTTACTGAGTACCTGTTATATGAACTGCACTTGGCTAGAATGGTGCATGGTGAACATAAAGATGTCATCCCTCTCCATAAAGAATTGTAGTTCTCTTGGGGACACACCCACACATGCATGCACACACTGTACATAAACCTCAAACGGATGAGCGATGCTATAGTAACCCCAGCAGGAGTTTGATGGAGGGAAATAGTCTAAGCCAGTGGGATTTGATAAGAAGGGTTGAGCACAGATGCTTAGTGTCCTTGCAGGCAGGGAGGAGAGAAGAGAGACCTGGGAGCAAACTAATTTTTTTAAGTAAGTTTTAGAGAGCCTAATACACCAGTTTTGCTGTCCACACAATTAGTTCTCAACCTAAGCTGTGCATCTCATTTTCTCAGTGGGCTGAGGTAGCCTTTGTATTCACTAAATCTGAATTTCTAGGGGCAAAGTTCGAGCATTTGTTTTTCAAAATTTCTCCAGGTGATACCAGTAGAGAACCAGGGTTGATAGCTACTGAACAGTGCAAATAAGATGATGCTAGATAAGTGCCAGATTTCGCCCCCCTCACCTTGAGGTAGTGGACACAATATATCATGCTGGTAAAGCAGCACACACTTACACACTTACTCATGAAGATTTCTTCTTCCCTTTTCAGAATCAATAAATTAATACTGATGTTGAACGAATGGTTAGAACCAAAATGAAGCAAGTTTCAGGAAGGGAAACATTATTTCAGACGATTCTAATCCTTTGGAGCTTTAAAAATATTTAGAAGATCTTCGTAGCCCGTTGAGATGTTTTAGAAGTTATTTCATGTATTACAGGATGAGTGTGTGATGACAGAATGCAGGCCTCCCAGTGGTGCTGGCTCAGCCTGTAAGGAAATGCGGTTCGATGAACGCTGGAGTCCAGGATTGACTCTCCATCATCATTTTATCTTATTGCTTTATTAAACAAAAGCAAACCTTCTGGTGTATGCCTTTAACAAGTTACTGATTAGCCAATATTTTTAATAAAATGCATCTGCCAAAAGTGAAATCCATAACCACATTGTGTGGGAGTAAAGGAATATGACTACAAACAGCTGGGGACCCAGGAGGAGAACTCTGTTTCCACCTGTCTCCCCCGGGAAATAAACCAATTCTGGATAAAACAATGTATCCAGGTGATCTTTTCTACCCCTGGATAGAAAAATAAGGGGGAATCCCTTGAAGGCGACAGCACTAAAATAAATGCTATGGACAGCCTCTATTTATTAAAGCAGCACGTGAGCCACATATGTAATTTTTAATTTCCCAAGAGCCACATTTCAAAAAGTAAAAAGGAAAAGGTGGAATCAATTTTAATGCCATAGTTTATTTAACCGAAAACATCCAAAATGTTATTTCAATATGTAATCAATGTAAAAACTTAGTGAGATAGTTTACATTTTAAAAATGTCTTCACAATACTGTGTGTATTTTATATTTACATTCAATTTGGAGTAGCCACATTTCAAGTGCTCAAATAGCCAAATATAGCTAGTGGCTACTGTATAGGACAGTGTAGTACCATATAGTTATTATTTCAGGCTCTGGCATCAAAATGATCTAGATTTGAATTCTTTCTCCACCAATTTCTAATTCTTTACCCCTGAGCGAATTAAGTCCTTAAGTTGGTTATGTTGACAAAAATAATCCATAACCAATCTATAACTGAAAATTTGGGTGATTTTATTCTGAGCTAAAATGTGAGGACCATGGCCCGGGGCATTTCTTCCCAAAGGAAGAAAGGGCACCAAAGAAGTGGGGTGTACAGAGTGGTTATATACCCCCAAAGAGATGTTTCACATATGATTGAAATGTCCCTTTTACAATAGTCTCAAGACTGCTCTGTCAGCACAGCAACTGATTGACACAGCAAGTAGGTCTGCTGTCTCGGTGGACACAGCAGCGTGTCAGGTCTGTTGTCTCCAGCTGGGTGGTTGCAGGTGAGCACAGCAGTCAGTTCCTAGCCTAAGGAAAGATGCTTATCCTTAAGGAAACACCAATGTCGGGGGAAGTTGCACCTTTATCTTAAGGGCATTTGTTCTTGCCATAGCAAATGTTTAAAGCAGATACACAATGCATACTCCATGGCCATGTCAGGAAAAACAAAGTCAGGCCGAATTGGGTTTACACCAAATGCCTTCCTCATATGCTCCAATATATCCTATTGCTTGCCATTTCTATTTGTCAGTTATAACACTGTGACATTAATAAAAGAAACTTTAACTAAATTGGAGTTGGGAGGGCCTGTAGGGGGAGCTCTCATGCCCTGTCATAGGTGTCAATTATGCCAAACAGGAAGAGATATAGGCTTGTATTTCGGACAGGAAGGTGTTTCTACCTTACTACCCAACAGGAGGAAGGAAGATTTGTCTCCCTGCCAGGCAACAGCCCAGCCAATGAGAGACTGTAGCAACCCAAACAACAAGGAGCCTCTGAACGCTTCGGACATTTAGTTGGAAGAGTCCAGTTTCCTCCAATGGACTCTTTATTACAGCTCCTCCCAACTCCCCCTTTTTTTCTTTAAAAGCAACCTCCCCTCCTTTGTTCTCTGGATTTGCCTGTGGTCCGCCAGGGTATGCCTGCATATCCTGAATTGCAATTCCTTTTGGTTATTCCCAAATAGACTTGTTTTTCGGGTAAGACAACTGGCCAATTGACTTTTAAGTTGACAGCACTTAACTCCTATGTTCTCATTCATGAGGTAAGAATAACAACACCTGCTTTACAGAGTTGCTTGATGGATTAAGGATGCAAAAAATAGTTTTTGTTATTGATAGTCTATCCCAGTGTTATCTTTCCACTGTGCCAAGTGAAAAGAGGATTTGTCTGAATATTTGCATTCAATCCACCGCCTTCACTGAGTAGCTTTGTGTGACCTTGGGCATGCTTTTTTACCTCTCTATGCCTCTTTCTTTATCTGTCTTATAGGAAACAATCGTACTGTAGGGGAGGAAAAAGTTTTCCTCAATCCTCTTAGGGTCCCTGGCTGTGTCTGAAAATTAAACCGACAAAAACAGATTAACAGGAGAAAAGTATACAAATTTTATTGAAGTTTTCCCTGTCCATGGGGGCCTTCACAAGAGAATGAAAACCCAAGGAAGTGACCAGAAAGCTATTATACCTTTTAGACAAAGAAACAATAAATTTGTGAAGCAATTGACAAGACAAAGGGGTTTCCGCTAGAGATAGTAAATGGTGAAGTAATTAGGAAGTTAAGGGTTAGGTTAACAAGGTTTGTTTGTATAGATTTCTTGGCCTCAAATTCCTTGTCTCTGCTGGTAAGAATGTTTTCCCTCCTCCTGATACTGGGAAGGTGCCTTTCACATAGGAGTTTCATGGTGTGTTTCAGGGAAGAAGGGGGATGGATCTGGAGGTGGGGAGGTCAGAGGGACTCTTTTGCTTCTGCCATTTTTTAAAAAATTGCTTCAGCTTAAGATATTTAATATGCCAAGGTGCCATATATTGGGGTTGTGTGTCCTGAGCACCATCCGTACCAAACTCAGAGAGCTGACGTCAGGGTTAAATGGGATAATCTATGTGGAAGTGTTCCCCAAACCCTCCAAAACCATTTCCCAAAGTTGAACTAGAGACATTCATGGTTGACACAATTCGTGATTTAAAATCCATTGGGATTGTGGTGGTAGTTACAAGATTGTATAAGAACTCATAGAGTTGTAAACCTAAAATGATTGGATTTTACTACTTGTAAATTACTCTCCATAAACTTGATTTTTTAAAAAACAATTTGGGAAATTCCTGGTTTTAAAAAGGTAGCAGTCTTCCTTTCCCAGGACTTCTCGGAGCCATATACTAATCCACACGCTAATGTGGATCATGAATTTCCGAGTGAAACATATGACATGTCCCATAATTGACTGTTGCACTCATTTTTTCACAGGATGTCTTACTCAGTCATGCACCACATAACAGGGTTTTGGTCAATGATGGATTGCATATACCACGGTGGGCCCATATGACTAGTAGTATATAGCCTAGGTGTGCAGTAAACTATACCATCTAGGTTTGTGTAAGTACACTCTATGATGTTCTCCAATGATGAAATTGCCTAAGAGGCATTTCTCAGAAGGTATCCTTGTCTTTAAGCAATGCATGACTGTATAATTATTGTACCAACAAATGCACCTTGGGAAATGCTGCTGTAAACTGCTATATAAATATATGCAGAAATCAGCTGTTAAGATTATTCCATGATATCTTAGCATTATTGAAAATTCATGAATTGGGTCAGATCACTTGACCCAATTGATCGCACCCTCCTCCTGGATGCATTTATTTGTCTTGCAGGATACCACCCTTTTCTGGTTTCCTCACACCTCATTAGCCACTTCTCAGTATTCGCTGCTGGCCATTCTACCTCTTGCT